GATCAAATTGAGGCGAATGTCGGGAACATGCCTCACATCTTTAAGCAACAACTTGCAGCCCAAATTTGTTTCCAAGCAAACATCACCCATGCCAATAATCTTGGACAAACCTTCATTACTCATTCGAACAGAATCATAATTTCTTTTGGTGTATGTAGTGAAGAAATCAACTCGAGAAGTCACATGAAAAGAAGCACCACATGAAAAGAAGCACTTGCTCTTTTGGCTCACAAAATTGATACAATCATCTTCACAAACGACCATGAGATCATCGGTAGTAACTCACATCTTTAAGCAACAACTTGCAGCCCAAATTTGTTTCCAAGCAAACATCACCCATGCCAATAATCTTGGACAAACCTTCATTACTCATTCGGACAGAATCATAATTTCCTTTGGTGTATGTAGTGAAGAAATCAACTCGAGAAGTCACATGAAAAGAAGCACCACAATCAATCACCTAATTGCTCTTTTGGCTCACAAAATTGATACAATCATCTTCACAAACGACCATGAGATCATCGGTAGTAACCGCTATTGTGTCTTCTTGTTTCTTATCCACACTTTTGTTACGCCTTTTCTCCTTGTTCTTGAGCTTTCGGCATTTTCACTTCATGTGCCCTTTTTTATGGCAGTAATAGCACTCAATGTCTTTCTTTGAAAAAGAACCATCTCTTCATTTGTCACGGCTTTGATCACGACCATTAGGAGTCTTACCCCTCCCCTTTATTTTGCTTCGGCCTCTCACAACAAATGCCTCCGAATAAGAAGAACCTGCTGATTTTCTTCTAGTTTCTTCATTTAACAAGCTACTAGTGACTTGGCTCATTGTGACAACTCCATCGGGCGCCAAATTACTAACTGTCATAACCAAAGTTTCCCAACTTTTGGACAAAGAACTAAGTAGTATTAAAGCCTGCAACTCATCATCAAAAATAATTTTCATAGAAGCAACTTAGTTAACAATACTCTTTATTTCATTTAAATATTCTGGAATAGGGCTGCCATGTTTATATTTTAAATTAACCAACTTTCAAAACATAAAGGCTTTATTTGTGGTTGATTTTCTGCCATAAAGACCTTCTAATTTTTTTTCATAAATCATGTGTCGAAGTTTCAGTAGCAACATGATGAAACACATTGTCATCAATCCATTGACGGATAACACTAACGGCTTTTCGATTAAGCCTCTTCCATTCATCATCTTTTATACCCTCAGGTTTGCTACTACCACTCTCAATAGGTGCATACAAATCTTTACAAAATAATAGGTCATCTATTATAGTTTTCCAAGTTATCCAATTGCTTTCATTGAAGCTAAACATACGACTCACATTCCCATCTATTGATTTACACAAATAAATAAACCAAAATAAACCGTATGCTCTAATACCAGTTGTTAGGGAAAATAAATGATTTCCCACAAGTAAATCAATTAATGAGAATAAAAACTAATGCAGAAAAAATAGTTTTTATTCCCATTGATTGATTCACTTGCGGGAAATCATATCTTTTCCCTAACACTGCTCTCAGAAAAAAAAGTCCAATAAAAAAACTTCCCAGTGTGCACATCTATATAAATATAGGTGTTTATACATACAAATTTGGATCTGTAATTAGTTGTATACATTTAAAAAGTGTGCAATCCTCTGCAATCTTTATAATCAAAATATAAAATCACAAATGTTTAGAACAAAAAATAAATTATTAAAACAAAACAAAAAGAAAAACCAGGGCATGCATTCGATAAGTCTTGACTGGTGATTTGAGAGGCGGGGTGGTAGGTGGTGGTCACCGTCAACCATGTTGAGCTAATGATATGGCCGTTGATAAGGAGTTAATGAAGTACATATATGGATATTTGTAATAGTGGACTGTTAGGATTATTTGTAGTAGTACAATTATGTATGGAGAGGGATTAAGGATTAGATGAGGTTTTGGACTGGACTGGATCGAATTACGAATTTCACGGATTCCTTGCTCAGCCTTAAAGGATTAGATGAGGTTTTAGAGGATATGGATAAATGTGTGAGGTTTTTAATTTATTTTTTTAAAAAATTATATATCTATCTATTAGTTTTATTTTTTGTTATGGAGATGGATGGGGTGTTGGCAATAAAAATTTTAGCCTCTTTTAAGTTAAAATTTATAAAAAAAATAAAATAGGTTAAAATAGCTAATAAAACAAAATGTTACATCAAACTCATAATCATTTTATTTTTTCTCTCACAAACGTCACATCCAATTATAAAAAAATCCAATCATCTTTCCAAACACAAAAATTTTAGCCTACTAAAATAATCAAAAACTAAAATAGCAACTTCCCAAACACTCACATAGGTTCGTTTGGGAAGCGGGTCGATTTTTTGGCTATTTTAACCTAGGCTAAAAAATCTCGTTTAGGGAGTATTTTTTTTGGTTTTTTAAACTTCTTGTGAGAGAAAAAATGTAATAATTATGAGTTAGATGTGATATTTTGTCTTATTAAGTTAAAAAACTTATTTTATCTTTTTTATGACTAAAATAGTTCTACACCTAACCCGACCCATCTTCCCAAACAGAGGCAGAGAATGTTTCTGAAGAGTTTCAATTTTAGTAAAAATTGTGGAGGTAGAGATGAGTGTAATCAAAATCACATATATAATTGTGAGTTTTTACTTTAAAAGAAACTTAGGGAAGAGAAATGTTAGTAAATTGACAAATTAGCTTCAAGCATGTGTCACGTAATTTTTTTGTATTTTTAGAATTTACGGTAAATTAGGAATTAGGATTTTTGGAAGCAATAATGACTTGGACTCCCTTTTTTGTCCACCTTCTTGACCCTTTCTTCACATGATTGGCCACTTTTTTTTTTTTTTTTTTTCCTTCTCCAATCACCACCCGTCACGTGTATGTGGGGGGGTGGTGGCGGTGATGATTGGAGGGGGTCTCAATCATTACCCTTTTGGAAGTCTGTGAGACTTCATTACATTTGTATATTGATATAGTGGGTGTTTGGAAAGTTATTATTTTAGTAGGTTATTTTAATTTTTGGCTATTTTAGTTGGTTAAAATTTTTGTGTTTGAGAAGATTATTGAATTTTTTTGTAATTTGATATGATATTTGTGAGAGAAAAAGTGCAATGATTATGGATTTAATGTGACATTTTATCTTATTAATTATTTTAACCTATTTTATTTTTGTGAATTTTAACCTAAACCAAGCTAAAATTTTTTTCGACAATGCTACGTAGCTCAAATTTTGTGGCTCAAAAGTGGCTCAAATGACCAAAACGACGTCGTTTTGAGTACAGAACAACATAAAAATGGTCAAAACGACGTCGTTTTGACCATTTGAGCCACTTTTGAGCCACAAAATTTGAGTTACGAGACATTTTCTAATTTTTTTTGCCGAACACCCCATGTTATAGATACTCAAACAAAAAAAAACAAAAGATTGAAAATGATGTGGGGGTAAAAGAATGGAAAAATAATATTATTGACAAATAAAAATGTAACGAGTAAGAAAAAAAAATTAAATATTGACTAACCTTTATTATTTTTTCATTTAAAATTAATAAAATAAGGAGTAATTATTATTTTTAAAATTATTATTTTTAAAATAGTTAATAATTAATTAAATATATTAATGAATAATTTATTTTTTAATTTATTTTATAAGTTAAAAATTCAATAATTTTAAACTTAGGCCTCATTTGGGAATCAACCCATTTAGCTAAAAAGACAAAAAGTTATTAAAAAAAATCAAAAAGCTAACAACTTATACAAAAAAGTCAAAAATTTTCTTTTCTCTCTACTTTTTGCATATTTTTTCGTAAAAAGCCAAAAAGTCATCTCAAACATGCTAGTTTTTTTTAGCTCATATTTTAGCCAAATAGCCAAAAAATTACTAAATTAGTCTGTTCCCAAACGAGGCCTTAGAATACTTTTCACTAAAAACCCATTTTCGAAATACAACATATGGTGGTGTTTGGGAAGTTTGTGTTAGGTTTTTTTTGATTTTTTTCACAAAAAGACAAACTTTTTGCAAAATCAAAAATACACATCCAAACAAAATATCACATTCAATCCCATAATTATTTCGTTTTTTCTCTCACAAACATCATATCCAATCACAAAAAAACTCAACTATCTTCCCAAACACAAAAATTGTTTTCTCTAATAATATCCTACAACTAAAAAAACCTACATAAAAACCCACTTTCCAAACAGCCACATAGATAGATGGATTGACAGATAAGAAGAAGCAAAAAAAAAGAAAAGAAAAATGTTTGGTTTTGTTTTTCTGAAAATAGTTTTCAGAAAATTCTACTTTCTTATTTTTCGTACTTTTTTGTTTTTACTAAATTTTTTTAATATTTTAAGTATTTTTTTTTAATTTTTAGACATACCTAACATAAATATACCTAAAAAGTAAAAAATTTGTGAAAAAAACCTTATAAAAATTCACAAAATACCAAAAATACAAAAAAAAAAAAGATAATTCAGTACATTTTTTTATATTTTTATGTATTTATTAATTTTTTAAAATATTTTTTCACAATTTTTTTACTTTTTAAATACATCTAAGTAAGGTGCATTTAAAAAAGTAAAAAAAATACTTAAAATTTTAAAAATATTCACTAAAAAAAAAACACGAAAAACAAAGAAACTCAGGGTGTGTTTGGTTTGTATTTGTAGAGTAGTTTTTGAAATAAAAAGTACGAAAACTTGTTTGATTTGTCTTTTTTTAGAAATGATTTTGAAAAATTATTTTGGAGAAAGAGTTTTAAAATAAGTGATTGACTTGATGTGTATGAGAGAGTGTGTGATTTTGGAAAGTAGGTAACTAAACAAAATTTTGAAATTTTTTTAAAAAAATTTGTTTAATTTGATTACTTTTAAAAAATTATTTGTAAAAAATTTTTCTTAAAATTTTTTCTAAAAAATAAACCAAACAAACCTTCAATTTTTAAAAAATTTAATTTAGAAAACTCAAACCAAACTGACGGTGAGTAAAAGGAGACACCAAATCAAAATGAAATTGAGCGGGAAGCAAATCGGATCATGCTCTGTTGAAGCACTAGTTTCTGAATTTCTGATTCCGAAGAAGAAGAAAACACAAGAAAATTTCTCTATCTCCGAATTTCTCTTTGAATCTGAAAATCATCAGAGATTTCAGAAGAAACTGGAGAGAAAATCAAGTTTGAGTAGAGAGTATTAATAGTAGCAGATCATCGAGCATACTATCAAACTCCCCCCCCCTCTCTCTCTCTCTCTGCGGCATTTCGTCGAACACATGGCCAGATCCAAACGCCGCGGACGAAATCGCCGTCAACCCTCCTGTATAGATCCACTCTCTCTCTCTCTCTCTCTCATCTCTCTACTTTCTCTCTCTAAAACTGTCCTGTACTCTGTTCAATATACCCTCATTTTTCAAAACCCTAACTCTTTCTCTATCTCTCTCAAATTGAAGATGCAGAAGCAGCCTCACAAGCAACCCCTGGAACGAGATCGGTACTCTCTTTATCTCTCTCGCTATATGTATAATTTCTCGTTTATACAGCTTCGTGTGTGAGTATAGGTGGGCATGTGAGCATTTTCCAAATGTCTTGCTAAAATTGTTAATTTGTTACTGTCTCTCTTTCTATATGTATATATATATATATGTATATGTATGTATAATTTTTCATTTACATATACAGCTGAATGTGAATGTATAGGTGGGTATGTGAGCATTTTTCAAATGTATAGCTAAAATTGTTAATTTGTTAGCGTGTTTCTCTCTCTCTCTCTCTCTCTGTATAATTTTTTGTTTATATATACAGCTTAATGGGAATGTATAGGTTGGTATGTAAGCATTTTCAAACGTCAAGCTAAAATTGTTAAGTTGTTACCGTGGTTCTCTCTCTCTCTCTCTCTCTCTCTCTCTATATATATATATATATGTATTGTTAAATATCAAAGCTTTGAATACTGTAGTGCAAAGTACTTGTGAAAAGTTGACTTCTTATTGAATGAAATCAGAGACCTAGTTTAAATAGGCTTACAGAAACAAACTGAACAGAAAATCAAGAAAAATAATATCCCACATCTAACAGCCCAAGACTTATGGGATTCTCCAAAGGAATAGATCAAATGCTAACTAAGTCCCTAACAAATAGGGATTATTTAACAAAGCAAAACAAAAACAGCGGCTAAATATCTAACACTTTCCCTTAAACTGAATACCACTCAAGCAATCAGTTTACAAAGGAAATTGAACAGACTGTAAGCAAACCTCACAGTTTCACAAATGCTTCCAGCTTCAATGGTTTGGTTAATATATCTGCGATCTGTTCTTGACTCTGACAATACACCAGCTCAACCACGTTTTCTTTTGTAAGGTCACAAAGAAAATGAAGCCTGACATCTACATGTTTGCTTCTTCCATGTAGCACTGGATTCTTGGAGAGTTTAATAGTTGAACTATTATCACAATAAATCAATGTTGGTCCAACCTCATTGCAATATAACTCTTCGAGAATTCTTCTTAACCAAACAGCTTGGCAAGCACAAGAAGCAACTGCTCTGAATTCAGCTTCAGTTGTGGTTGTGGATAAAGTGGCGACATGCTGCTTCTTCAAGGACCATGAAACAGCTCCTGAACTCAGCATAAAAAAATGGCCAGATTTACTCTTTCTATCTTCCAAATCCCCAGCATAATCACTATCACTAAAACCAATTAATTTATTCCCTTCTCCTTTCTTGTAAAACACTCCATAATCAACAGTACCTTTCAAGTATCGGAGCACTCTTTTTGCAGCTTGAAGATGAAGTTCAGTTGGAGCTTCCATGAATCTGCTGATGAGACTAACCACAAACATCATGTCTGGTCGAGTGGTTGATAAATACATCAAACTACCAACAATTTGTTTGTAGTGAGTGTTGTCAACTCTTACTCCTTCTGCATCTCTTGTGAGCTTACAACCTGGAACAATTGGATTCTGAACAGGATTGCAATCAGTCATCCCAAACCTTTCTAAAACTTCTTGAGCATACTTTCTTTGGCCGATGAAAATTCCAGCTGGTGATTGTACCACCTTAATACCAAGAAAGTAACGCATCTTTCCTAGATCAGTCATATCAAACTCATCCATTATTGACTTTTTAAACTCAATAAACATTGTTCATCATTTCCAGTGAATATCAAGTCATCTACATACAGACAAACAATAAGACGATTACCTCCTGAGAGGGTAGTTTTTGTAAAAATTGGGCCGAGCTGGGAGATGGTCATTATGGCCCACAATACGAAGGGCTGAGTAAAGAGGCCGGAAAGTTACTCCGGCCCAAGAGAGGTACAAAATTACTCCGGCCCGAGATAAATGTGATGTTACTCCGGTCCGGAAGTAACTTGGAGTTAGGCCGGTCTCAGAGTTAGCCCGGTCATGGCGTATTGTGGTTAGAACGGTCAGAAACTTGCTACTCGGTAGCTCGGTCTAAACGCGCCATGGTTTGTACATGAGAGAACCGAGATAAGTTGTAGCAAAAGGAAGAATCGAACTAAGGATAGTTCGGCCTACAATACTGGCTCAGCATAGCCAGTATTACTTCGGTCATGTTGGAGTTCGGCCATGGTAAAAACCATCTCACTTGGTTTAAGCAGTGAGGGGGGTGTTGAAGGATAAGTATTATCCTTCAGGAGGTTAAATCCTAGGAGGACTCTGCATGGAGGAGTAGAAGTCCTATTAAGATTGTGCCACACAAAACCTATAAAAGCTCACAAACATCACCTTTGGAGAGGCTCTAACTTTGCCAAACAGAGCCTTTTGTCTATTTGTCAAGCCTTTGCTGACTTACGCATCGGAGAGGTTTTCCGGACCACTCCCTGTCGGCTAGCTCCACGTTTTAATTTTTCAGGTGATTAAAGGCGACGACCGTAAGAGGACGCGCAAGACTATGATCAAACAGGCATTAACGAGAA